CAGAGTTGGAAGACAACAAGGAATTCAAGTGAATTCTGCATGAAATTCACATCTGTTCAAGATGGTAATTTTGATGATCTTACTTTAATGCAAAAAACTTTACACCTATCATCTTTCTGAGCTTTTGAAAAAATATATTGTAACTTTTTCTCATTTGTTGTATGACTATTAAAAGTAACTTAAGGGCACCGCTATGAGCCACCTTAATATCATGCTGTATATACATGAATTCTCACAACAACCATTGGATGCATATATTATTATTTTCATTTTAAATATAAACTGGCCCTCAGATAGTTTAACTTGCTCGGGAGGGGTTTGATCTTTGACCTAGTCAAAGAGGATCTTATGTATTTAGGAAAGGGTCATTTTCAGTACCATTGAGGAAAGAAGAGGTTCAAATACAAATATAATGTACAGTGGATCAGATCAAGAAGACACCGGGGAAGCTTTGAGGGAGACATAAAACATCTTTCCGTAGGTCATTAAACAAAATAAATTAGTCCTCAGATTAGAAGACCTTCCATATTCTCTTCTGGTCCTGGATTCTAGAAGTCTGTATTTGTGCTATGTCATGATTTCCACTGGGGAATATCTCAGAGATCCCCAGGAAGAGACCGGGAAAACTTGTCCTTTCACTGGGAGTATACAGCATCTGGTCACCCTCGTGACCTCTTAGCTCTGTGATCCCCGCTGGGCCCCCACTGAAGGCCCCTCGCCACTGTCCGTGCATTCATTTCTGCTATGCCAAGCATATGGAGTGTGGGAAGATGGGAATATTCCCAACATGTAGAAGAGCCTGCTTCCCTCCTCCTTTTCAATGCAAATCCTGCACTTAAGGTCAAGTTTCAAAATCCACATCCCATACAAGATCTTCCCGACTAACTGCAACCCATAATGATCTTACCCGTTCTTTGAAATCTTACATCCCTTCTAGTCTTTTGACCCTATTACTGAGCACTTATCATTTGATATACTTTAATTGCTTTATGAAAAGTGCTTTCCCAGAAAGTTTGTGTGATTCTTTTTCTATCTCAAAAATGGGGCACAGAGTAGGTCCTCAGTTCATGCTTATTAGTTAACATGTAACCATGGGCAAGGTCATTGCTGTCCCAACCTCCTTATTTAGAGATGATTTTACAGGGGATCACGTGGGATTGCTGGTATCTATAGATACAGCAGACTATTAAAATAATAATAATAATAGCAAGCTTAATTTAGGATCTGTATCTTTTTTCGAAGATTTTATTTTATTTATTATCTTTAGAGAGATGGAAATGGAGGGAGAAACAGGAAGAGAAATACCTCCTGGTTGCCTCTCACCCCCAGCCAGGGACCCAGCCCACAACTTAGGCATGTGCCCTGACTGGGAATTGAACTGGTGACCCTTTGGTTCATAGGCCAGTGCTCAATCACTGAGCCACAGCAGCCAGGGCAAGTATCTATTTCTAAAGTTAGAGATCCATGATCCTAACAGTTTCCCATAAGAAAGATGAGGTATAAGGAACCTGAAGAGATGACAGAATGTTGCACAAAAACACTTGTGTCGGTACAAGAGGCCAACACTCCAACCGCCTCCTGTGCCGCTGGGGTCCTGGAGCCAGCCTTTCCTGCTGCCCCACAGCATGGGTGGGATTCAGGCCCCTGCCCACTGCTCTGTGCCCTTTGATTAGTTCCAGCTCGCCCTGAAGGAACTGTGACATTTTACTGGTGGGTGAGGCTACTCCTCTGTAAAAAGTGTATCTGTTGGGAATGCAGTTTTTGGAAGAAAGACACTATTTAAACAGAAGAACACTATTCCTTTGACAGCCCCACAGAATGGGGCAAATGAATTAAAAAGAGAGCAAATCAGGTCCAAGCTGGTATCAAGCCCTGGGAGGCTCAGAAGTGCAGCCCCATGTTTTAAGCTGATCACCATACTTTGCCATCACCGATTCAACCATTTCAACAGGAATACACTGGCTATAACATAGTCAAGAAGTGCTTTCCTTGGAAGATGGGGAATCCCATATACAATGAGGGGAGGTTTATTGGAGAAGAGATTCCTTTAGAATGACTTTTGGGGCAATACATTCTGAATGGGAAACTTTTGGTGTCAAGTATAAGCAAGTATGAAGAATGATTTAGTAATGAGCCAAAATTTCACATAGATAGCTAATAACTTAGCTTATAGTATAATAGACATACACAGGTAGTTACTGATGTAGAAATAAGGTAAGAGTCCTGCCTTTTTAGTTAATTCAAGAGCCTAAAATACTAGAGGCAGCGTAGATAAATGACATCTTCAGAACCACTAGGATTTATCAAACTAGAAATTACTCCAAACTAGGCAGTTTCTTCAAGGGAGAGACACATGGAGGAAGCGATGTTTAGGCTGCTCCTTTAGTTTGGACTCGTATCTCGGGTCTGCCCAGGGCCGGGCGGACTTCCGGGAGGAAGGTTCCCGAGGCCACCCTTGTTGGATTTTCCTCCTTGTTACTGTACGAACTCCTGAAATAACCTGATTTTTTTCAGATCACCTAATGTTGCTTCTCTTAACGTAAGATGTTTTGGGGGATATGTATTCACTTTGAAATCTTTCAATCCGTCTTCTCTTTGCCTTTAGGGAGTTTAGCAATACAAATATTAAAGTGGAAAGCACCTTACATACAAAAGAAAGTAGGCTACTTCCTTTTCATTTTGGTCATTGTAAAAATAAGAAAATTGGTAATTATTGAGAATGAGCATATTTTTAAGGGAGCTTTACCAGTCTAAAACCAAGCCAACCAACCCCCTTTCTCTTGTGTTAGGAGCCTGTACTTAACACCCTATGTCTCCGAGTAGGACAGACGAAGCTTTCCCGCCAAAGGGTTAAAAGCTTAGAACAAGGGAGATTAAACAGTTGCTTTAGGAAGTTTAGGCCTCATACCATCTGCTCTCTTCACGTATTCCTTTAACTTCTGTCAGGACTAAAATCTGCTCAGCCAGGGGTAGGGTTTCCTCAAACTCCAACAACAAAACGGTCAGAGGGAGCACGAGAGAGAGGTAGGAAGTTCCACCTGTCAGCGGGGGCTTTAGGGCTTGTGCCCATCAGTGACCTGCGGGGCCTCAGGAAGCCCGTGTACCCCTGTGATGTGATGTGTGGTAAGTGTCCTGGGACACGCGGGGCAGCTGTGCGGCTGCCTCTCCAAAGTGCAGTGAGCAAGAGCTGTGTTCAACAGTACGTGCAGAGGGTCTGCGACCTGACAGAGTCACCCAACTGAGGAGTAGGAATACGTGTATGGAGAGGGCTTAGAAAATGCCCATCGGTCAGTGTGACAAAGGAGAAATAAGATGAGAATTACCAACGGTCCCAGAAACGCAATCCAGCACTGTAACGTCTAATGAACTGGGAGAACTTCTCACTTAAATTTAAGAGCATAAGTGACTCTACCAGCAAAGTTCCCACGCCTGCTGGCAGAACTCAGGAATTCACCTCATGATAATTTGTAGACTCTTCAGAGAGGGTTACCACGAGAAGCCAAGTGAAATTCCAGGTTGAGAGATTGGGCATTTGCCTGGATCACAAAACCTAGCTCCTGGAGACCAGCGAATGTGTTTCCATGGGGAGGAAATTATTTTGGTTTATTCCAGTTGGAATCTCACAGGGCTTGAGCTCTGTGGGGAAGAATCACATCCTCGTGGCTCTTTAAAAAAACGTATTTTATTCTTCCAAAGACAAATGCCAGAGATAAGGAAAAGAACCCCAGTCTGCTGGGGGTGGTTGGCTAGCTGAGCCATTCAACTCAGCCCTGGGCCTGGGAGAAGAGCTCTCCTCAGGACCACACCTTTCTAGGTGCTGGGGAAAAATTGTGACAGGTTTCCCCATCCCTTAAAATTCCAGCCCAAATGCAATAAATTAAAACTGCAGACATCAGCCTCTGGTGAGAACAAATGGGGTTGATCTGAGGCCAGCGTGCACCCCAAAAGCAGGCTGCACCGGAGGGGGTGAGCTTGGTTTTGATCAGCAAGAGCAGCATGGCCCCTTTCTGGTGTGACAGTTGAGAATGCATCACCTTCCTGATGGCCTTTTATGCTCCCAAGAGGCAAAGAGAACGTTCTTTTGAGTTTTCTTTTTCGGCTGTTCTTGAATTATCTTACTCTTTTCAGCTTGGCCATTCAATGGTGCTTCTAATGACTCTGAGTTTAAGGGGTTAATCTAATAAGAATTAGATTGGGTTTAAATGAGGTTCTTCAATGAATAAGAAAACTGCCCTTTTATACACATTATCAAGGATGGGAAGTCAGGTTCTGATAGCAGCAGTTATTGGCAAATTGTATTAACAAGTCCAATGAGGTCCTAGACAAACAGAAAAAATTTTTGAGAGCTTATGTTTCTGCAACACTAGGCACCAATAGCGTGAATACAAGGAAAGTTTTCCTTATTCATAATTCATATTATACCTTCTTTATAGCCACTGTTAGAGCCGAATTGTGTTCCCCCTGCTCCAAATCCATACACTGAAGTTATAACCCCTCCCTAGTCCCTCAGAATGTGGTGTTATTTGGAAATAGGGTTGTTGCAGATATAATTAGTTAAGAGGAGGGAATACTGGAGTAGGGTGGTCCCTACTCCAGTATAGCCAGTGTCCTAAAAAGGGGAAACGTGGATTGGACCCAGACAAGCACACAGAGTGCGCCAGGTGAGGATTAGGGAGGGATCAGGGTGATGTGGCCACAAGCTGAGGAGCGCCAACGACTGCTGGCAGCAGCCAGCAGCCAGCGGGGAGGCCTGGCACAGACTCTTCCTCGCAGCCAACCGGAGGAACCCACCCCGCCGACACCGGGATTTTGGACTTCTAGCCAGCAGGACTCTGAGATGATTAGTTGCTTTTGTTTATGCCGTTCGGGTTGTGGTGGCCTGTCCTGGCACAGACACCCACCTCCAAAGCAACGGTCTTTCTCAATACCTACTTATTTTTTAAAGCAGACTCCTTCACAATGGAACCATCCCAAAAAGGAAAAAAATGTTTGGTTCTTACCGTCAGTTCTTGGGGAACGGATTTTGGTTTCTTTATGTTGATCTCGACGCCATTGCTGTCTTGTTTCAGCTCCACGGGGGACCCGTGCACTTTGGCCACACCTTCGAACATCTGGGACTTGGTTAAGGAGGGGGCGAGCGCCTCGGGGGGACCCTCGCTCTCCTTCTCCTCCTCATCGCCGTGGGCCGTTTCCCCGTTCATGCTGACTTTCCCATCTACCTGCAAAAACCCGAACGAACAAAAACCATGCTATTCCCCAAAGAAAGACCTCAACAAAATAACCCACTCAGAATCATCTCCAGACATTATCATTGGATAATCACAGTCCGACAAAGAATAACATCTCTTAAGTGCTTTGATTGGTTCTAGACATAAGGACTCTTCTATGAAAGTTATCTCTGAGGGTCTCTCTCAAGGGTACTCTGCTTCCCCAGGCCACTCCATGTTAAATTACACTTCATGTTCACTTCACTTAGGGTGCGCTTTTATGTTAAAATACAGAAAAGCAAGGAGACTTACGTATAAAATACATGCCACAAATTTAAGTTCCAGTAATTTTTCATTTAAGTTGTTATTCTACAATTTCAAGGGTTTTTCTTTTCTTTTCCCACTGATTAGCATGTAAATGAGGTAGAACCCACCTCAGACCAGGAGTATCTTACAGGTAATTCTGGGGGGGTAGGGAACTGGGTCCTTTTTTGACACAATCGTGAATGGCAGGGAAGCGAACACTTGCCTTGTGACAGTAAATCCCTACTTCTAGCTACTTTTATAATCCCACGTTTTCAGGGAAAGAGGCCATGCCCATTACAGTGGTCTGGTACCCATGTCTAGAGAAGGCAGCGAGAGCAGAAAGCAGGAGCAGGGAGAGTTTCATCAGTCGGGCTTACTGAGGGGTACCCGGAGGCCTCGGCCCGGAGGTCTGCGGCAGCAGGCGAAGTCAGTGCGAGAGGAGGTCTGTGGCCGCACGGCCTCGGAGTGAGTTCCAGCTCTGCAGCTCACTAGCCATGCGACCTCCAACCTCAGTTCCTCACCGGCCAAACTTATAAAAACAGTAGCTCCTTGACTATGCTATTATGGTGATCTTATGGGTTAATAGGTACACAGAGTTTAGAATAGTACCTGGCCCATTTTAAGTGCGTCCATATTAGTTATTATTATTACTAATCATGGAAGACCCAATATTAGTTATACTTTATGTACCTAGGCTGATGGCTTGCGACCTCTGTTGTCTGTCATCCGTGAGGAAGAAATTTAAATCACAGTTAAGCACACACAAATATAACTGAAACCAGAGTTCTGTAAAACAATAGTCACCTTTGTTGTGTGTGATGTACTAGGCATTTTTAAAATTATTCTCTTCTACTTCATTTTTTAAAAAATGTTGATTGTAAACCACTGAAGTGATTTTATAACCTAGGAACAGTTGGTAACTCTCAGTTTGAAAAACGCTGCCTTTTAACGATTTCACTTGATCTTCCTTTACCTATAATTCTGTTGTACTGGGAAACGGGGCCGTACTCCCCACGTCCCAACTCTTTTCCCTGCCCACACACACTCACACACCCACCCATTAGCTTCTGTCCCTGCATTGTCTGGTAACAACTGTTTATTTACATATTACCCTTGATCGCAGTGGGTCTACCCACTCAGTGGTGGGGCCATGAGCAGGCTGAGAGCTATCAAGGCCTGCGATGAGTCAAAGGCTCACTGGTGGTCGAGAGTGGGCCCTGGCGTTCAAAGGACCTCCACTCCAGTGGCTCAGTCCACCTCTTCCTGAGGCCTCTATACCATCTTGCCACAACGGTCAGGAACTGGGTTTTCTCAGGTGCTAAATCTTGCCACAAAGTCATCTATCCTAATTCTTCTAAATGATTATACTGCACTATTTATGTAAATGAGGGGAAGCAGACTAGAGATTATCTGATTGGATGCCATGGATACCAAGCTAAAGAAATGTATTCCCTACTCCTGTTTGGAGTCATCCCAACATCAAACTGTCTTTCACGAAATATCACAGGCCGTTTATTGCCATGAGTCTCACCAGGTGAAGGAGCGCTGGGCAGTACCTGGGTGAGCTGCTGAGTGTGCAGGGGCTCGTGCATATCTGTGTGTGTGTGAGTCTGCTGGACGACTAGCCCGTCCTCTCAGGAAAAAGCCACGTGTTTATCCAGTAAACACTTGCTGAACACCTGCTGTGTCCTGAGCACCTATGCCAGGCTCTCAGGACAAAGCTGCGAACACCAAAGGCACAGCCGACGCCCTTCAAGGGACAAACACCTCAATTCAACCCAGATGACACAGGCTCGACATTTTTCTTTTGTTTTATCAAAGCCTAAGGCACAGATTTTAAAGATATATTTGGAGTTATTTAAGCAGAAGTCAGGAAGTGTGGTTTGGTTCCCTCTGAAATTTAATAGAAAGATACCAGGCATCACATCGCTCAATTAGTTTGCTTAAGCAAACTTTCTTTACAGTTACATGTCCATGGCTGCCAGTGAGAATTCCACCTCTGTCTTCTATTACAGACCCATGTGGTGCGCAGGGACAATGAGAACTGACTTTTCTTTGTAGTCGACGGAGCTTAACACAAAGGATGAGTGCCTCCTCCTCGTGTGAGGGAAGACGGGGGAATCTGAGAAAGTGAAAAGAGGCTCGGTTGTCACGGGTTGGTTCTGAAACTTTATTTTACACGTTGGTTGGTAAAAAGACAACCTAGTTTCTTTCCACTTAAAAATATTTCAAAATCTGTTTCATTTGAGGACTAGGAAAATCCTGTATTTCCATATGTTCCCCGTATTTTTTTCAGTTCTTGCCATATTTTCAGACATCATGCCAATTACTTCCTCAAACAAAGCTGTATACACTTCTATTTGAACAGTGGCAATTAAATTTTTTTTGAAGAGCTTGCAAATACCTCCAGATAACTGTAGATACCTAGGGTGTTAGTAAATTAGGGTTCATGACCACACATATAGAGACCAGGCCATCGTATCAACTTAGAAAACAGACCTTGCTCATGGAAATGACTCAACCGTCAGTCCCACTGGAGCCCATCAATATGAACAGCAGGGACTGAGGGGGTACCATCTCTCCCTAACCATTTACAGACCAAATCTCGGAGGCACATAAACTTCACAACTGTGAATGTCAACACAGTTTGTTTTGTTTGCATTTTCTTTTTTAGACAAAAGAAAGTAACTGAGGCAAAATGCTTCTTTCCACCAACTCCCTGGAGTTCGGTTTCAGTTCTACTCCTAAAGAACTCATCCTACCTTAAAGGTCTTCAGAACTTCTTGAGAGTTTTTGGGCTGGGAGTAAGGCTTGGGTGTCAGCATAGGCACTGCTTTGGGAGTGACAGTTTTGCTCGGAGACCCACTGCCTGCTGATAGGCTGGTATCCAGGATATTGGTACGAGCGATGGTGGTTTCCACAGTGGCAGTGAATTTAGGTGGAGGCAGTGACTGTTGCCGCAGGTATTTCATGGGGTTGGGGTCGTCTGGGAAAGGGGATAAGTTTGGCTCCGTTGAATGGCTTCTTTCCAGGATTTTTGGCATCTCCAAGCGTTCGAGAACAGCCTCGCTGATGGTGAACCTCTCGATGTACTGTTGAAGGATGCCCTCCGCCTCCTCCTGGGACCGTGCGTTCTTATATGCCTCATGCAACTCCCTCTCTCTCCGCTCTCTAAAGCACGGGCATGGGACAGAGAAGCAACACCAAAGTCAACAACAGTCACAAAAATTGCAAAAAAGACCTCAGGAGGAACCAAGGCGGAGCTGACAAGACAACATGGGGAGTGGGTAATACTGGTGTCAGGGCCTTTGTGATAACCAACGATTTTTAGAAAAAGCACATCTAAATAATATTATACATTAAGCAACAACAACAGAAAGAACCCACTTTTCTTGCACAATTTCTCTGTAGGTTTTGATGCTTTTCCTTCGCTCACTTGTCCCATCCTCTCCAGCCAGTAACTTCTCCATTTTTTTCCTTTCTTCCTCCTTCTTGATTAAGTCTTGAGAAGCACTTCTCCTGCGGCTCTTCCAACGAGCCAGGTCCTGTGGGGGTGGATTGGGAGGAGACAGAACATACTTTTGCAGGCTTGCACACAACTCCACTTCTACTCTCCAGAGTTTAGTGAGCGCTGACCATGGGCCGGGCACTGTGCTAGGGCATCCCCCCCCCCTGCTCCAGTCTGAGCCTGGTTGGAACAGGAATGCCTCCAAGGCAGGGGACCTTGCAGAGCAGGCAGCACATTTATTTAAATAGGGTGATGTGAAAGTTGCAATCACATTCCATCTCAGTCGCCAAATTTTAAAGTATTGCCTCACAGAAAATTGTAAGAAACTTCATTTCTTGCTACTTATGACTTCTGCATTGTGAGTGGACTTGTTGACGATAGACCTACCACAGACCTACACAATGTCCTCAGGGAAGGAAGAAAATAGAAAAAAATTGGCTTTGGGGTCTCCCAGAGTCAATGACCCTACACATATTAATTCTTCTGATCCTTACAAGGATCTCACCACAAGCCTTATGGGCAGTTATAGCATAAGGATGAAGAGTTAGGGTTCTGGAGTCAGGTGGGTAGGACTGCAGCCCGGGAAGTGGTCCCAGCTGTGTCTCATCCACGTTCTGGAATCACAGGCCCAGTTCTCAGCCTCTCTGTACCTCAGCTTCCTCATCTCAAAAGTAGGGATTATAATGGCACCTACTCTTCCAAGCCTTTCGCGAGGGTTAAATGAGATCGTGCATGTAAGGTACCAGTAAGTAAGTGCCGGCACATAGTAAGTGCTCAATATACTGTAGACATGATTATTACATTTTATCGACTTTGGAGGAGTTAATTTTTTAAACTAAAGGCGGAGTCAAGTTTACAAGTGCTGTGCCGGAGTGCTCTGTGAGGATTAAATGGACTAAGCTGCTCTCCCTCCTCTCATCCCTGACTTCAAGCTCTTCCCGGACCCTGGCTCTTTGCTCTCAGCACTCAGACAATCTCAAGGCACTCATCGGACTCTGGAGCCTTCCTTCCCTAGCTCTCCAACTGTATGACTTTGGGCAGGTTACTTAGCTGTTCTGGGACTCATCTGTGGAACTGAACACAACAATAATTGCTGGCACATTGAGTTACTAAAAGGATTAAAGAGAATTATGGCATGCATGGCGCTTAAAATAGTGCCTGTTACTGGTACGCTTTCAGTGTTGGCCATTGTCATTGTTGTCATCATCATGAATTTCAAATACACAATCTCACAACAGTGCCTCCTCAATTCTACATCTTACACCTGTTGCTCCCCGCCCCCAGTCCCCCCCTGTTGTGTGGCCAGCCTAGCAGATACTTGCAGATTATTTGTGTCACTCAGTCCTCGCTCTTCATGCTGCTATTAACCTTCCTTTAATTCCTACATTTACTGTGTCACTGTTTGAAATCCTCTAGGGGCTCCCTTCCCCCGCATGTCTTTCAAGTCCTGGACTGCCCGCCCCACCGGATCTTCTGCTCCAAAAGGCCTGTAACCCATGGTGCTGGGCAGCTTCCCCGCTGCCTGTGGCCTTGGCCAGCACTCACATCTTGCCATTTGTCGTCCTCTTCCCGCAGCTGGTTATTTATCAGTTGCAGCTGCTCCTGGCGGGCCCTGCTGTGCGGCTGCACTGCAGCCTCCTCCTCACATCGCATGTCAAACATACTCGTGCTCCTGCGTGTGGAGAGAGCGGAGACAAAAACGGAGGGGGATCAGCGCCTGTTGTCACTGAGTGTTTGGGGCCGTCCTGCCGCGTGGGGGCGCTATCGCGTCCGGAAAAAACGGTCCCTCCCTCAGCCAGCAGCGTGCACGCCAGCACCCCCACCTCTTCCGCAGCAAAAGCCAAAATATGACCATCTTTGTCCTCAATGGTGGATGCATCAGGTCAATGTAATTTTACACACAGGTGCCAAAGTATGTTTAAAGAAGAGCTAGAAAAGGTATATGACGCTCGGGGTTCCTCTAATTTGGAAATGTATTTGAAAATTTAAAAAAAAAAAGAATGAAAAGGTTTAACTTGGGGAGGATTTCTGGAGAAGGAGGGTGGCATTCCATGAAGTGAAACTTTATTATAGTAAAGGCTTCTTTGTGTAAAGATCTGGCTTAAATGTTTTCTATATTAACTGAATCAGTCTCTCCATTTTCAAAAAAAAAAATGTGGCCTGAAGTCTAAGACACCCACCTTTTCATATTGTGCTATTTTCTAAATTTTGGATGCATTCAACATTAGTGGATGCATTTGTGAAGCATATATTTGATATAGTCATTTCTATTTCCCATAAAACTGTAAATTGATAGTGTAGTTGATATCGTGGAACTAAAAAATAAAGTATTTTATATTAAGATTACAGAAAATCTTATAAATCACTATGCATTTTGTACCCTGATATTCTTAGAATCAGTCTACTTTATTTTTGTGAGGATAACTCTGCATTTACTCTTTCAAAAGGAAAATATAGAGAAAGTAATTTTAAACCCTCAGACTGTATATATAATTGATATGTTTATTCTGTAGGAGCTCACTAATGGTGGGCAACATCCTAGGGGCTTTATACTATGATGCTGACACAGACCTTTGTTCCAGCAAAATCTTAAGCAGCAAGATGAAAACAGAAATAAAAAAAATCAAAGTAAAATCCTCCCTTCTTTTTTTCACTCTCTCTCAAAGAAATGAGGAGTCCTGGGATGAAATGGGTCATGTAGCCCCCAAATCAAAAAGTGGAGGGCCCTTTAAAGTTCACTCTAAGAACAGAAGACTGCAATTGTCCATTTTTTGAAGCCAGCTTAACACAAAGAAAAGGAAAAGCCATGCACTTCGCCACCAACTAATTCCAGACGCCATCACTGATGTCCGAAATAGCCCCATAGCTGGACAGTGAACAGCCGCATCACCACTGGGTGCTAGTGGGACCCTCAGCAGCTAGGTCTCCGAAGGGGAGAATGACCCCCCTGCAGTGACTGCGTACCGTCACCTCAATACACTCAAAATCGATCTGTAAGGGTGTGTAGGTGCCTCTCGCCTCTCTAGATGTTGGACAATTTAAGTCTGACCCGAGGGAGCTAAAACTGAAGACTGTACTTGTAGTCTGTCTACCCTGAGGGCATTCTAATAATTGACTGCATGGAAGAACTTTCATCCGAGGCTTCTCTTAGCTCAGACAGGACAAACCACTGGGCAAAGCCGCCTCCACGTGCCAACACATGCCAATGCGGGTGTGGGGTGTGGGGGCTCTGCCTTCCAGACCCACTGCAGTCCTCACGGGGCAGGAGGGACTGCGGCTTTTCACTTGTTTTATACTACGTTAATGTTTGGGAAAGAGTTAGAATTTGCAGAGTTAGGTAAGAAAGTCTAACCCATGTTTTTTGAACTTCATGGATCAAAATCCACATAAGACTGAAACTCATCCCATTCCTCCTCTCAGAGTTTAAAAAAAAAAATCTTACCTTTAAGCATATTCAGTTCGGTCAGTTCACCTTTTAAGGCAATTCAATTCAGTGTTTGTGAAGATCTTACCAGATAAAAATCTCTCTGAGCTGGGACTCACTTGTAGTCTATTCGGTAGTTGGCAGATTGTGAGAAAAAAGAAGGTCCCTTCCTTCGACTTAGCCATCTACAAATTTCTAAAGGGCAGAGCTCTGGTTTAGGCCACAGCGGGTGGCCATACAGCTAGGTCTTCTTCTGACACCCCACAAAGAAAATGGCAGCCTTCTCCAAAACTGGGAACTGGTTGTCTCACTTGACAGACACGAGGAGGACAAGGGCAAGGCCTCCGGATCGGACTTTGTCCCGAGTTCCTACCTCCATCTCATTGAAACTTCTGTCCGCCTCAGCCCATATGTGGCCAAATGCTAATTAGTGAAATAAAAAGAGAAACTTTTGTTCGTCCTCTCATGTACTAGAAGTACTATTTTTCCCAGACTTTTTTTAAAAAAGAAATACCAGCAAACTGGTCAAAAAGAAAACAACAAAACTATGAGCAATATCTTTAAGCCATTTCAAAAAAGGAACTAAGCAAGTCGAGAACTGAAAATACTAGACAGAAAATAGGCTGAGTGACCATTTGGAAAACATTCTCTAGCTCAGGGGTTGGACTCAGCCTCCGAAATGAAGAAGCCCAGGTTCCAGAATATTAATGCAACTTGCACTAAACCTGTGCTTCTCAACACAATCAACTGTGCCCTTGGGCTGCTGTGCCAGGGACCCTGCTGCAGAGCCTGGGGATCTTTCTTGGTGGTGGCTTGGCATTTTTGAGGGCCAGGATTAAACTACCTCACGAGGAGCCTGGAAATTGTTTCTGGGCCAAGTCCAAGGTAAGGGAGTTAAGAAGAAGATGGCCTCTGGCTCTCACAGGGTCCAGCCTCCACTGGTGGGGGGAGTGTTGGGAGAGGAGGAGTGGACAAGTGAGGAAAGGGCCAGGAGGGGAAACCAAATCTACGGAAACATTCTTGGCTTGCCAGGAGGTGGAATTTTCTGTTTGCCTGTGTGGTAGGTCTGCCCCTGACCTGCATTTTTTTCAAAGGGCAGATCTTTTTTTGATTGGGCTGTATTTTAAGAATGTGTCAATTATGGATAAACAGAGCCTGTGCCAATGATTGCCCTTAAAGATTTTGAAAAAGAGAGATAATAAGCTAATAAACTAAACATAGTATGACGTTCTATTTCAAAAATAAACTCCCGATACAAACTTTTCGTTTGGTTCCCCACACGGTTTCATGTAAATTGTGTCTACTCCAGGAAGGAAATGTGGCACTTTTGATATTCCTAGAGAGGACGTCTGGAAAAGAAGCTCCCTCTCCCCTTCTTATTCCATGAGGCTGTTTTTTGTAATGTTTGAGAAGGAATGAAGGGAGTCCCTTCCCCCACCCTCTTTAAAAACAATCACTAACTTCTGGGGGCGAGCTTTCGTCTTCAGGTACAGGCAAAACCCCAAAGCTCTGCAACAGAGCTCTTTTATCTCAGGCAAATTGCACGGTGTCACTGTACTGATGAGGAACAAATCCATTCTATCAAAATATTTTTTTAGCCAAATGCAAGCTATGTTTTTGCCTATCAATCTTATGTAATCCTCCTTTCAGTGAATGTTAAACATTGCCACTGCAGATTTTAAAAGTAATAACCGGGGCTCAATTTTATAGACTACTTAACTCCATGCAGCGAGTCAAGCTCAGGCTGACTTCGGTTTTGGTTTTGAGCCTCGAATGCTCTGTACATCAGGCCACAAAGCAGTCAGCGGCCGTGCCCTGGAACCGGGCGCCCTGGGTGTTCGAGTGAGATGGCTCAGAGCTTCGAGTGTGCAGGAGGCTGACGTCCCGAGCGTGAACGTGCAAAAAGCACAATTTGAAAACAGTAAATTTTGACTCTCACTGTCACCAGTGGAGATGACAGTTGTGTTCCACAGCATTATTTTGGGTTCCCCACGGTGTGACTTGAAACTATGGCTCAGCACAGGAGGACAGCAGAGAGAACATGGCGCTCACTCTTCCGAGGAGCCCGACGCTTATGAGGCCACAGAACGCTTCTCATAGAGGAAAGACGTCGGGCCCAGCGGGTGGAATTAGGTCTTAATCATGGTTTTTAACACCCAAGTTACTCCAATCTGAGGAAGTTAGTATTCTGCTAAGAAAACTTTTGCCTTAGATATTCATTTCAGAATGCTCCGTGCATAGAAAATCCACTTTCAAAATGGGATTAATGTGGTCACAAATGGGAGAGTGTGAATTCCTCTGAAATTTGGAGGTGAGACAGGCATGGGTAGTGAATCTTGAAGATGGAAACCAAGTAGCAGGGAGAGAATGCCCAAGGCCTGTATTAAATCGTGACTCCTTGCTATGCCACAGAACCTGAGCAGAATCGCAACATTTTGGGGTCAAGCATCCCACAGTTTATATTATTCCAACCTGGAAGGACCTTGGGCTTCTGCATCCATAATTAGTGGTTTAGAATTTATTTTCTTAGTTTAAAAAAATGTGGCCACGACAATGACTGCTTCTTTGTTAACTCCAAGACCTAATCTATGAAGAATTGAATGCAAATGCAGAATCCCACTTTAATAATTCCATGGCTCAGAAGGGGTACCAACAGCCAAATGGTAACAAGAACATTAACATGCCTCGTCTATGAAAAGCAAATGTTAAGTTTGAAGCAGCAGCTGCACATTAGAATCATGCTTGAGTTGCTTTTTCATTCATCTCTCCTGCACAGAACATATGTTCTGCATTCCAACTTCAAGTGCTTTTTTGAAGCTGCACGAGTTGGTTAGCTATTCAGTTCACCGTTGCGCTGGTTGCATTTCCATTAGTGGTAAGTACTGAAGGCATGCAGTGTAGGCTAGTAATTAACATATTCCTACAAATACAAAACGACTTACTCTGCGTCATCAGACACAGGAGTTCTCGGACCGTATCTATAAGACCAAATACAAAATTAGAGGATTTGCAAGACAAGGTTAACTCTGTCACCAAGCTGAAAAGAAAAACTGCTGGTGAAATGTATGTGTGCACACCTATTTTTTTGTTGTTGATCACGCTGGAAGAGAAGTGTCATTATACAATTAATATTCATTAACTGCTGAAAATGAAAGAAACTTCTTGACAGTTCTAAAAAATGCAAAATGTGTATTAAAACACAAAGGAGAAATGAAAATAATCCCCATGCTACACACACAAAAGAATCTGTTCAATAAAAACACAAAAATATTTAGGTGCACCCCACGATGTTTAGAGAAGTCAGCTTAAAAAAACCCAAACCTGCATTATGGTTGCTCACAAGCAGTTAAACTGTCCATGCCTTATGTTCAGCCGTAATGGGCTGTAATGGACACCCAACATAGAAGCATGTGCTTTCTGGCCCTTCCCCTGACGTGTTAATGCATTTATGACATCAAAGAGCGTTTCTGCAGTTTTCTGAAAGCAAACCAGACTCTAACCAGAACCCCAATCAGTGCCTCCTGCATGCATTTGACAAAAACCACAATTCCTAGAAAACTGGCAGCCTTAATCCAAACCAGACTTGTGTGAAATGCCATCACTTGAAACACCAAAGTTTTTTTTTTACAATCTTTTATAGTCTTCTGATTATTTTGATCTACAAAGCTGTACTGTACCCTCTGCAATATAGGTACTTTAAGTTTTAATGTGTCTGATAAAGCAAAGGAAAAGGTCAGGGTAGAAAACAAAATGAGAACTTTAGAAGGGCATATTTTAAGCATGTTTTAAAAATGCAGCTCCCTCTCCTCTGCAAAGGGGAATCTTAAGAGAAGGCTCTTCCTTCTAACGCCCTGCAAGGCTGTTTATTTACGCGCTCTGACGGTGGATGCAGGATTATTTGAGTAAAGAAAAACACATCTCGCTTTCAGTTTCCAATAAATTCAACTGTGGGGTTTTCAACAAAAATTACCTGATCCCATGTTTACTTTCATATTAGTTTAACTAGAAGGAAATGAGTAATTTCTAAAGGTCTCTTCCTATAGTAGAGAAAACCCCTCAGAAAACATGGGAATACACGTACACATACCCTTCTCTCGTATGTTTTTACCATTCCCGGACAGTCTACATTCATTGAAAATTATTTTCACTCGCAGTGAAGGCAACCACACCAGAGCAAACCTAAAATATATGTTGACACGGCCAAAGCCAAGGCAAGGAACGGGTTCGCAGATGTTTCTCGTCCAGCAGCGAGACTGATTTTTCTGTTTCTCCAGAGGGTAGTTTCAGAAGGTGGTAAAATTTAAACTAATATACCCAACTCTCTCAAAATACCACCAGATTGAAACAGATGATCAGTGGATTCCTGCACATTGAGAGAATGAATGAACAGCGTTAATTCTGAAGACGGGGTAAATGTTTCCCAGTTAATTAATAGGCCTATTGGAACAGACTTATTCAAATACTGTGTGTCGTAAATTATCCATGGAGGAGAGCCGAGAACTTATGCCTAACAGATGGTTAATCTAGAAATAAACCAACCGATAGTTGGTTGTGTCTTTTTGTGTCCCTATTTGAATATCTTTGTTCATGTTTGATTGAAGTGTAACACACATACAGAAAGTGCAGGAACCACACCTACACCTGATTTTCACAAACTGAACACACCCATAGATTAGCACTACATGTTTAGTACTTTGTGAATGACCCAGGCTGTACATAGTCTTTTGAGTTTGGCTTCTTTAGAATATTTGGTTTGAGGTTCAGTTATGTTGTTGCTGTAGAATATTTTTGAATTTAAATTGCCTCCACACAAATTATAACATTTCACAAACATCTCTGCCAACAAATGCAAGGGGTGTTCTTTCGGGATTCCCTGAAGAGTGACCAGGCTGGGCCGTTGGTAAGTGTTTATTGGGTACTTATTGTTTGGTCTGGAAATCGGAAAGAACAGAGGAGCACAGTCTCCGAAGATAAACTTAATGTATTTCTTTACTTGTGGATTTAAGGAATTTCCTCTCTAGTTTATCAGCCTTATATGGGCATCGATTCCAGCAAGACTGTATTTACTGTTAAGCAGAAGATAATTAGAGCCTGGGCTTCAAATTGGTTTCCCAGTCCTCCTATAGGAAATCGAAATTGTAAAAGTCAAAAAGGAATAAAGAGATTTTTTTAATGCGAAGTGGGTGAGTCAATCAGCTAGGAGGTACAGAGTTGGCCAGGTGAATCACAGCTGGTCTAAGCATCCCAAAACAAGGCGATTAATAAAGTTTCACTGTGAGAGCAGGCATATTCAGAAGGATAAATGAAATATTCTATGCCCCTACTGATTGCAGGTGAGAATTGATAATTAGCTGGTTATATATTTCCATACTGTGAACTAACACAAGCTTCATTGGAAGTGAGAGGGAAAAACGGGTTTGCTGCTCATTTAAGATTATCCCTGCAACACCCAGCGCAGTGTGCGTTACAGAAAACCAATCGCTCGATAAACACTTGTTGAAAGGAAAATGAATTCCCCAGGTGCATGCTTGCTCCATCACACGATGGTGTCACACAGTAAACCTGAGTACATCTCCTCATGCTCAAACTAGCCATCCCTTCCCATTTGAATGTAAAGAGAACTCCTTCCAAAGCACAAGTAGAGGGACAGGTAGAAGTGACGGGGAATTCACCAGACTTCCACAGTTTCCTCTAGTAACCAGTGCCAACAATGTACCCGAGTGGAACAGCGACTTTCAGCCAGACAGAGCTGGGTTTGAATCTTGGATCTGTAACTAGCAGCTGTGCAGACATGGGCCTCCGGCTCCTAAATGCAGAATGCAGGTGAACATTCTCACTTTCAAAGGCGGTGTGAGTAGTAAGTAAACGGGAAAGCACCTAGAATACAAGCAGCTGTAGGCCTCCCTTCCTTTCATTTCAACTTGCTTTACAGTGGCCCTCCAGGGCCGAGCTATGTCACGGGCTCATGTGGTGCATCAGCCCTCACCAGCCCTAACCGTCGGATAGCCAAGTGAGATTCACTTACTCCTCTCTGCATCAGGCACCCCATTTGTGAAACAGAGCTGACGTCCATTCCACTCCCTGTGAATTCTGAGGGGAGCTAGAGGGATCAGACACACCTTGAAAAGGCTACGAAGCGCTCCCTAGCTGTAGAGCATGAATATTGCCCATGCTCCCTGAAGCCAGTGTCATAGTAAGGCTGGACTAAACTATTATTATTATCATTCAGAAGAACGTAAAGCAGATTAAACCCAGAAGATAACAATGGGTAGGATGTTATTTTTCAATTTTAGGATTACTTAAGGCTCTTCCAGCCTCCCCCGCCTCGACCCACTACCATCAAGCCGCCTGTATGAAGCAGAACTCCATCACTTCCCGCTTTAGAGTGGAACTTGCAATCATGCTACACACTCCCCACTCTCTTGCCCTACGCTGATCAGGCGGTCCACAAACGTACCACTCCTACTAAATAGCGCCAGAAGGTTTATTACTTTCCTACTCTTCATTTTACAGTAATTAAGTAGTTAATTAATTATTTTAGAAAGAGTGGAAGGGAGGGAGAAAGAGAGGGAGATAAAGATCCATGTGAGACAGAAACATTGACCGGCTGCCTTCCGTTTGCTCCCGTACCGAGGACTGAACCCACAACCGAGCATGCGCTCCCAACTGGTAATCAAAGCAGCCACCTTTTGGTCTGTGGGACGCCACCCAGCCCACTGAGCCACACCTGCCAGGGCTCCCTACTCTTCATTCTATATCAAGTCATAGCACAGAGCACAACTCCCACATCTAGAAAGAACCAAGTACTTCCTAATGTTGAAATTAAATTAAGTTACACATTTTATAAGTGATACACATCTTCTTTGGACTGGAAGGACCTCCTAGAATCAGAGTGAAGCCAAGTAGATCAGAAAGAAGTTCAATCCCTTTACCCAGAAGCTCCTATGTCAGCTAGGAAGAAACAAAAGTGCTTCTCATTTAGGGGGCCCATGGGTGAGAGTCAAAGAGAATGCTTGACAGAAAAATTCATAACTGAACTATTCTTTCCACACCTGCTTCCATGCAAAAAAGAGAAAGACACATACTTGGCAGACTGAGCCAATTTTTAACAGTGTTTCTGTAAGCAATAGCGGGTAAGTGGCATTGATGTACCATAATGCATTAACAACATATTCAAAGCACATATCAAGGCTCAGAATGGAGAAACAAAGTCACGAGAAACAGGCCACAGGATAATCTTCTGACCTCTTATCTTTCATTAGGGGGCCCTTTGCAGATTCCTCCGCATCCTGTTGCTTTGCAAATGGAACCGGAAGGAACTGGTTCGGGTTGCATCCAATATGTCTAAGAGACATCCCAGTTCTCCTGGCCATCATGTCATCTCTTTGGGAATCATACAACCTTCTTTGGTTTTTCCATCTGCTGCCACTCCAGGCAGGAGCTGTCATCTTCTCTGAGCAATCTTCTTTCCCCGAAGCCTCCCATTCAGAGGCCAGGGGACATGAACTAGGGCAACATTCAGTCCAGCCAATCAAAGTCCACTTATTTCTAAAGATATTTTCAGTAGCGTCACTCGCTTGGTGTTAACTCAAGACAGAAGGAGCCAATGTCCGCAGAGGCAGCAGCGCACACAGCAATGGAGGACCAGTGCCGTGGGCCTCCACCATGCAGCTGGTACTCACGTGGGAAGACGTTTCCCTTTCTGGCTTTCACGATTTCTGAGAAGAAAATCTGGCCAGCATCCAACCACATGCAAATGCTAAAATCTCTACCCAGAGCGGGCACAGAAAGCGGAACTCTGACCCCAGGATGGGACATTCCTTTAAGGGACTTAACTCCACATCACATCAGTCACCGAGTGCATACTGTGGCTCTAAGCTGCTTTTTGGGAACACAGAAGCCACGCACAGCAGAGGCAGCACACCCTGGAATGCAGGCAAGGCGCTCACAGTGGCTGGCCGCTCTCCTCGGATCTCTC